CCCAGTTCCCCTGGACCTGCCCCAAAAACTCCCCCAGGCCCCATCCCCCTCAGGCCCCCTGAGACCCCAAATACCCCCCAGGGCTCCCCCGAGCCCCCAGCTTTGCCCCATTTGGCCCCGAGGACCCTGGTCCCCGTCCCGCCCCAGCAGGGTCACCTGGCTGGCGAGGGCGATGAGGGTGGATTGGACCTGCGTGTGGGTGGGGTTCTCGAAGAGGTCGTTGGCCTCGAAGATGTCGTGTGGCTTCACCCCGTAGCGCGTGATGGCCCGCAGGAAGTTCCCGATGTTCTCCAGCTGCGCACAGTCTCGAAGAGGTCGTTGGCCTCGAAGATGTCGTGTGGCTTCACCCCGTAGCGCGTGATGGCCCGCAGGAAGTTCCCGATGTTCTCCAGCTGCGCACAGGTCAGCTCAGAGCCTGGACCCCCGGCCCATCCCCGGGACCCTGACCCTCTGCAGTCCCCCAAGCACCCCCGTGGGCCCCCCAAGCCCCGTTTGGGGCCCCCTCACCTTGTGCCAGTTCTGGGTGGGTTCATTCACCTTCTGCACGGAGCCGGGCTGCAGCTTGTTGATGAGCCTGGGGGGGAGGGGGCCGGGGTCAGGGCAGGGGACAAGGTCAGGGTCGGAGCAGGGGTCAGCCCAGGTGAGGTCAGCGGGGGGTGAGGGATGGGGTCAAGCTTAAGGTCTGGGGTCGAGATTGGGCCAAGTTCCCAGAGGACGACCCCAGACTTGAGCTGGGGTCAGGGTTCAGGGGTGGGCCACGCTCCCAAAGGACAGCCCCGTCCCCAAGCCAGGGCCAGGGATGGGGGTCCGGGTTTTGGTCGTTGGTGAAAGGTCAGGGGTCATACTCGCAGAGGATGACACCATCCTTGAGGCCGTCCATGAAGCTGTCCCCAATGCGGCGGGGGGTGGTCCCCTCGATCCAGGCGCGCAGCTCCCGCTCCCGCTGCGGGTCGTACTTCTGCGCCAGCTGGGGATGGGGGACACCGTCAGCAGGGCATGGGGACACAGAGGACATGGGAGACGTGGGGGACGCGGGGGCACCGTCAGGGGGAT